GCGTTAAAAGGGGAAGCTCATAATGCGGTCAAAAAGTTCCAAATTACGGAGGAAAACTACCAGAAAGCGGTTGAATTTCTCAAGGCAAAATATGGAAATCAGGAAGAACTTGTTAACCGCCTGATAGACCGCTTGGAAAATATCACATCGCGTTCGCCCTCAATAAGAGATCAGCGCGTGCTTCTGGAGCAAGTCCAGGTCATAGTGCTGCAGCTTCAAGATAAGGGAGAGCAGGTAGATGGGCAGTTACTCTTGAAACAGGTGCTATCAAAATTCTCAGATCGCTTGCAAAGGAGAGTTTTAGAAAAGAAGTATTCCATGGAGGGATCTTTTCGTATGGAAACTCTTCTGCGATTTCTCGAGGATATTATTTCGAGTGAAGAGCAAATTGCGCTGTATACTTCGAAAAATGTCGCGTCTCCTTTACCACCACCAAAAAAGGAAAAGAATTTCAAAGATCAATTCCGGCGTGTAGGAAGCGGCATATCAAAGGGCGCGTGTATGTACTGTGGTGCTGAGCATAAGTCAAATGCATGCAACAAATATGGGACACCTCAAGAGAGGGCCAAGTATTTGCGGGAGCACAAATTATGTTTCATTTGCGTGTACCCTCAGCACCTCACTTCTCAATGTAAAGGGCGGGAGTGTTTTGTCTGCCAAGGTAAGCATCACACTTCCTGCTGCTTCAAAAGTGATCCTCCACCGAAAACGAACTCGACATCAACAGTGAAACCTTCAGCGACTTCGACTTCCCCACCCACAGGGAAAGATAGGCCGAAACCCTCACAGAAATCACGACCTACTTCTACGAATAGTCATCAGATTAGCCAGGACCAAGGAGCTACCGTACTCCATAATAAGGAACAAGATGGGTCAACCACAGAATCTCCATCGCGTGAGGAAAACACGGTCAAGCGCGTAACGTACCTACCTATTGGGGAAATTACAGCTATGGACCCGACAACAAGGAAATTGAGGAGGATTGCGGTGCTTCTGGATTCGGGTGCAGAGTTTTCATTTATTGACAATACCCTCGCAGAAGGAATTACATCTGCCCACCCTCGGAACAACTAAGCTGCGTCTCCGCACCTTCGGGACGGAACAGGTCCAGGAATGTATCAGCCGTAAAGTGCCTCTAGAAATTTGGGATGATAAGGGAAAACCATATTCTCTGGTGCTCCTTACGCACGACATCCTGACGACTACCTTGAGAACTCCTCCCGTTTTAGAAGAAGACATCGCGTTCTTGAAATCCTTGAATTTGCCTATAAATTTGGTCCAAAGACAGGGAGAAAGACGAAGCCACTAGTGTTGTTGGGTTGCGACCAACCTTGGCAACTTCTTCGAAAAGATGAAACCCACATGAGCCTCCCATCCGGCCTCCAGCTCTTACCTACACATCTCGGACATCTGCTTACAGGTCAGATCCAAGAGAAAAGACCGGTAGTAAAGGCAACGGGCGACTATGAAAATCTAGGTGGGAATAATGATGAGGAATGGGAACAATTATGGACATCAGAAGCTCAGGTAAACGCGTTCTCATCAGAGCACTCATCGGAAAATCTAGACGAAAAGGCCTTGTGGGATAGATACTGGTCCTTGGAACAAGACGGAACGGAACAGTTTGCCAGATCAGAAAGCGAAGTACAATCTCTGGTAGATAAGAAAGTTATGGAAAATTTCATCAACACGATAGAAAAGAAGGACGATGGCTACTATGTACGTCTCCCGTGGAAAGATATCCCTATAGAACTACCTGATAATAGGGCTATTGCGTTGCGACGTCTGATGAGCGTATGGACCTCGTTGCAGAAGGACAAGGAGCTGTTGGAAAAATACAATGATATCTTCCAAGAGCAATCACGCACCGAGATCATAGAAGAGGTCACGGATGAGCAACAACCGGTAGAGGGGAGAATCCATTACCTTCCACATCAGGCGGTGCTCACATCTCACAAAAGCAGGACGAAAATACGCATAGTTTTCGACGCGTCTGCGCACTATAAAAATTCCCTTCCCTGAATGATGCGTTGCATGGGGGCCAGCGATACTGCCCAAACTTTACGGAATGCTACTTCGATTTCGATAGGGCGGATCGCGCTGATTTCGGACGTAGAAAAAGCATTCCTGCAAACAAGGCTTCACCAGGCGGATAGGGATGCGACGCGTTGCTTATGGCTGAGAGACCATAAAACTCCCCCTTGTGCGAGTAATTTGAAGGTTTTTGGTTCACACGCGTAATCTTTGGTTTACTTCCATGTCCGATTTTACTCGCGTCAACGACCCACTACCACCTGGAAATACCCAAATAATAGTGGCCTGGTTAAAGAAATAAAAGAAATCTTTACGTAGATAATCTTCCCCTAGCGACAGAGACGAAGGATGAGGACGCTCACATTTATTTCAGGACGAAGATCTTTGGGGAGCTGAAAATGAATCCATGAGAGTTTGTCTCAAATGATAAGAGCATAATGGAAACATGAGTGATGACAGGTCCACTGAAAGGGAACCAAAAGGGCTAGGGATCAGGTGGAATGCAAACAAGGATAAGTTGCAAGTTTCATGCCGCATGATAGAACCGAGAAAGGCAACTGACCGCACTGTAGCAGGTTCCCTCGCGCAGTTTACGATCCCATGGGATTAATGTTACCCTTGGTGCACAGAGCGAAACTCTTCCTACAGTCGCTCTGGAGAGATGAATTGGAGTGGGACACACCCCTTTCAGACGATCGTAAAGTTGCATGGGAAGAGCTTATCAGAGACATGCAAGGATTCCAAAAGGATTTACCGCGTTTTCTGATAAACAAGCATGCAGAAGTCCATTTGGTCACCTTTGCAGATGCTAGCAACGAAGCTATGGCCGCGTGTACGTATTTGTGCTCCACACAATCGACTGATTTGTTAATGGCCAAAGGAAAGCTTCCCTCGTTGAAAGCAAAAATGACTATTCCCAAGATGGAACTGAGCGGCTTTCACCTTAGCAATGCGTCTTACCAACTCAGTGGTATCCCAGATCGGATCTACTGTATCCATAAGATCGATCCTTGTCCTGAGTGATTCGGAGATTGTCTTAAATTGGATAAGTTCGAAGCCGCGCCAGGATATAGGTCCTTTTATTAGGAATCGCGTTTTCGAAATTCAAGAAATTGTGGCACATTTAGAAAAAGGTGGTTATTCGGTGCAGGTTGGACATATACCAACGCAACTCAACCCAGCGGATTGCGCCATGAGAGGACTGGACGAAACGCGTTTCGAAGACCATTTTTGGTGGAGCGGTCCAGAGTTCCTTTCCTGCCCAAGGGAGAGCTGGACAGACGCCTACACACCAATCACTCTGGAAAACATAGGAGAGGGACAAGAACAGTCGGAAGAAGCCGAAGAAAGTCGAACGGAGAATTACGTATTGATGCATGCTAAGAAAGAACGTAGACCTCTTTCAAGACATTCGTTTCTCGAGCTTTCTTAGCATAGACGCGCAGTTGCATATGTTATGCGATTTATTAAAAAGCTTGTAGATCGCGTAAATAGGAAGAGGAAATCTCCAGTTAGACTTTCACCTATCTTTGAACAAGAAGGTGTAGCTGAATCACGGATTATCAATGGCAGCGAAATGAGAAGGGCCAGTAAGATGTTAGTCAAACAGCATCAGCTTTCTCATATGAATCATTCAATCCTGAAATCGCTCCAACATCTTAACCTCTACATGGACGAGTACGGTATCCTGAGATGCCGTGGGCGGTTAGGGAGGAGCGATTTAGAAGAGTCGGCCAAGTTCCCCATGCTAGTACTCCAAAGGTCATGGCTTTCGCAGAACATCATAGCAGAATGCCATAGTAACCTTCACCTGAGTACAAGCCATACTATGTGCCGCGTACGAGAAAGTTACTGGATCCCGCAACTACGAGCAGAGGTGACAAAAATGATAAGGCGCTGCATAAAATGTCAAAAAATGAATAATTTGCAGTACAAATATCCTGAACAGAGTCATTTACCCTCTCGCAGGGTCACTAGGTCACGTCCGTTTGCACACGTGGGGCTGGACTATTTTGGACCTTTATCTGTTAAAAATGACGACCGAATTGAGAAGTGTTACGGATGCATAATAACATGCCTTGTGACCAGACTGATACACCTGGATACGGTAGCGGACCTTTCGACACTCGCGTTTCTCCAAATGCTGCGTCGATTTTTTTCCAGAAGAGGTGTTCCGCTGTCCATAACAAGTGACAATTCTCCGACCTTCGCGTTAGGGGACACGATTTTATCCGAGTGTATCCAGCAAGTCAAAAATGATGAGAATATAAGAAGGGAAATTAGTAACCGGCTAATCCAGTGGATTTACATTACACCATACGCACCCTGGCAGGGAGGTGTATACGAACGCCTCATTCAGTCGGTCAAATTAGCCCTGCATAAGTCTCTGGGTAAAGTCACACCGTCGCGTGAGGAACTAGGCACTCTGATTATAGAAATCGAAGGAATGCTGAATACCAGGCCACTTGTGTATGTAGAGTCAGAATCGGATACTGATCGAGTGCTACGACCAATAGATTTCTTACAAAATGAATTTGAGGCACCAATGTCGTTGGAGGCGACAGAGGACGACAGTACGGATCCCCAATACGTGACTCCAGCGGAACGCATCGCTCTCCAGACAAAAAACCAGACGCTCCAAGCCTTGAAGAGTTCATGCCAAATGACTGAAAAATTCTGGCAAATTTGGCAGTCGCAGTACATAACATCGCTGCGAGAAAAACACCAGAGGGAAATAGGGAAAAAACGCGGATCCCGCTTAACACCTGAAACGGGACAAATTGTGTTGATCAATGATGCTCTGCAACCGCATTACCACTGGGAAATAGGCCGCATTTTAGATCTCATAAAAATGAGGAAGGGATCGCAAGAGAAGCGGTAGTATAGCTTTCTTCACATTGAAAGATTAAGAGGTCCGTGAATCTGCTCAGCCTCTTGAACTAGATGATGACGATGATTTTCCAGAGATGCGGACGTCGACTTTCACTTCAAGATTCCGAAAAGACACTGGACATGAAAGAGGGTAGATCACATGAGGACCCAAATCCGAAGAGCAAATAAACCCGCGTTATAACCTCAGACCAACGAAAAGAGTGGATTACCGAGAGCATGGCGCGTTAACGGACCTGCGAGCGAATTCTATTTTCCTGGTTTTGAGTATCAGCCTCATGATGGGAATCTGCTCAGGTGTCACTAACGTGGAACAATCGCGCCATGGAAGGCATATTCGTTGTGTTCAAGGAGGGGTAGAGCTTACGGCAGTCGATCGAATACCGTACGTAGTTTGCGCAGAAAATTACTGTGCGCACTACGCGTTACCAGATGTAGTAGAGCTAGTGAGATTTCCACCTCAGATAACACTCCATGAACATGACGTGCAGTGGAAATTTCTAGAGAATTCCTCGTTGGTAGCAATTGAGACAACGTGTCCCCCAGCACCCTTTTGTGACAATGTGGACTGTACATTCTGTTCAGCTTTGATATTCAATCCAGAGTGCTGGCCGGTAGGGGCTATCGGAGTGACCGCGTTGCTACTATACTTCATTATTACAGGCTGCTATGTATTTCTGTATGTTCCGCTTACCATGGGGAAACCAGTTCGCATTCTTCTTACCTGCATGCAGTACGCTTTTGGATGGCTTTCTAGGATGGCATGGCGCGCACTTTGTCGCTTCCGTCGTAGACGGACAAAGGACTTACTCGAGTTGCTGGCAATAGTACTAGGACTAGCGTCTCTGGTGTGCACGGTGAACGGATGTCAAGAAATTAACATTTTTTCCCATCGTAACACGGTCTGCAGCACTTCCGAGGACAAACAACTGTGCAAGGTCCAGTTATCGGAATTACTTAAGATCAGCTCCTTTAAGCGTGAAGCATGCATCAAGCTGACGAAAAATTATACTACCATACATGAACTTACGAGTTTTCTGGAGAACACCTATCTTCACATGCGATCCCGAAACCGACTACTTCACACGAGATACGGAATATCGCGTAGTGGATAGCAAACGCTGCGCGCGCATGGGATCCTGCATTAGGGGAAAATGTGAAGACATTAATGGATCCAGCTTGATCACGGAACTCGAAGAAGGAAATTCATATCCCGGCACAACATACTGCGTAGAATCATGTGGCGGCCTAGGCTGCGACTGTTGGTACTGGGGTTCTGGGTGCTTGTTTTACCGCGTGTATCTAGTACCTGTCTCCAACAAGATTTTTGAGATCTTCCATTGCAGCAGATGGAAAGAAGCTGCGAAAGTTGAATTTGTTCATTTCAACGCGTTGAGTAATCAGAAAAAGAAGTACGTTGCTCATATGATTCCGAGTGTGCCGGTAAAATGGGGCGCATTTTCCTTCTCGCTTAGCTCACTTACGCTGCCACCCACACCAGCTCTGAATACACACTTTATTGCGGACAATAATGAAACGGCTCTGTGGGATTCGAGTTTAGTTCCAGCGTTATTCTGTCAAAATTCGAGTGCGGCGGAAAAGCTTCAGTGCGAAGTAAGGGAGGAATGCGCATGTTATCCAGCCGAATTAAAGGTCAACTGTAAATGCAAAGGCGTGGATATCGCGGAATGGTTCAGGAATCTCCAGCACCGCTTTCCTGTAGTAACTCCGGCGCTAACGTTCCGAAGAAATCAGGAAGGGTTGGTGCAAGCGAGTATTTCGACAATGGTTATGGCAGAGATTGTGATTAATATTCAGGATGAGTTCGAAACGAGTCTCCTAGTAGATGAAGCGATCTGTACAGTCCCCAATACAGTACTCACGGGTTGTTACAGTTGCGCGAAAGGAGCACAAGCCCTTGTGTCCTGTACATCATCACGGTTGACACAAGCTCAAATCGTATGCAGTGATTCAAGTTTTGCCATCAGTTGCGATGAAAAAGGTTCGGAGTCAGTGTTGCGATTCAGTTTCGCGAAGGCCCGTATAAGAATGATGTGCTCAGTCTCCTGTGGTGGCTCACCATCCACATTCGAAATAGCGGGAGTTCTAAAATTCACGCATTCGGTAGAGGGCATGATTAGCCTATGGATCGATGGACATACGAACAGTTTCCAGGAATTCGAATGGCCGGACGTGTTTCATATCGTTGACGTTTTTATTCAATGGTACAAAACGTTGCTCCTAGCTATCATCGGTCTCGTAGCAGTGGTAGCTGCAACTTACCTGCTTTTCGCTACTTATGGACTGAAGCTAATCGGGGGCACATTTCGAGTCTTCACTACGATTTTTCAGCTGTTTTTTCGTGTTTGCTTTCGCGTCCCCTGCACTTTCTCAAAAGGGCTTCGCACGATGCATGAGAAGCTTCTATAAACGACACTTCTACGGCTTATGCACAATAGCTGGTTATAGAGTAGAATTTCGCTTTGCATGGTCCAAAAATACGCCTGCAAATAAGAAGTTCGACCGGATCAAGTACGCGTTTTCCAGGATGGCTGCACAGGACGTAGACGACGACACGAAGTATTGGTCCACGTTTATGGTCAAGCAGCACTACAGATGGGAAGCCATCAAAAGCGACCTGGATGCAATGTCCGAAGCGTTTCAACAACAGATCAGTATCGCGTCAATGATCCAGCTGCAGTGGAGCTATACCCAGACAGAAGAAAGCTTTGTGTTGGGGACCCCGGCTCACAAGATCCGGACTGTGTCGAAGGTTATGAAGGACCTGATCCTGACGAGAGAAAGGATTTCGCGTATGGGAGTTCGCTTTGTGTGCACCCTCCGCTTCTACAAGGACCAAATATTCATCGGTAAGCCAAAGAAGCCTAAGGAGGAATGGGAAAGTGAAGCAGAAGCAGCTCTTCTACAGCTCGACAAGAACGTTAAACGATTCAGTGCCGTTATCAAGGAAATGGAGCGTGAGATGGAGCAGGCAGAGAAGGACTTCAACGTAGGGCCCTGCCACACGAACGCTCAACACATCAACACCTTATTCCGTCGAGCATTCGATAATTTGACCGCAACGGATAAGGACAGTGCTGAGAAACGTTTCGAGACTCTTCAGCAAAAACTAGACGAACAGAGTGAAGAAATATCGCGTCTGAAGAAAGCGCTAGAGCCGAAGCAGAATACGGCGGAAGACGTGGAAATGACGGATGATGCCTACTGGTCGCGTATGGTAGAAGAGGTCCACGATGTCGACGAAGCGAACCAGGTCCAGACCTCCCCACCGGAACTCGTATCCGAAGGCCCAGACGAGGAGGAAGAACTGGATTTCCGGTCAGCGGCTGGTGATGAGGAAGAGGCCATGAAGAAAGAAGATCAACTGAAAGTGGTGTGTGACGAAAAAGGAGAACGCGTAGTCGAAAGAGTTCAAGCTGATCGAGTAGTGGAGCGCGTATCAGAAGGTCGTCACGAGGATCGTCGTCAAGTTCAAGCTGATCGAGTAGTGGAGCGCGTATCAGAAGGTCGTCACGAGGATCGTCGTCAAGTTCAAGCTGATCGAGTAGTGGAGCGCGTATCAGAAGATCGTCATGAGGATCATCGTGAGGCTCCACGACGGGACGAGAGAGAGCTGGAGAAGCTGATACAGGACGTGCAAAAGAAAATCGACCACATGGAACGAGCTCTGAAAACATTCCCGTACAGGAAGAGGGAGACTTTCTCTCCTGGTGTGAAGAGGACGACCAAGTGCTGTTTCTGTGGCGTCGTTGGAAGGCATTTCTCGGACTCGTGCCCGACAATCACTGACGGGCAGGAGAGATGGGAACTCATGCTGGAAAAGGTATTTCTGCCAATACTGTCTGAACCGATGTGGAATGTTTGACCTCTGCTCCTTACAAAAAGAAGCAATGTTTTTATTGTGAGCGCGTGAAAGGCACACCGTTCGAGTTCGTGATTCCGAGTGAACATCATCATACGGCTCTGTGTAGAGTCCCAGACAGAAGAGGAAGGGCCCGTTCGCGTATCGAGGAGGCCAGGGAGGAACTTCGTCAGCTGCTGGGAGAGTTGGCGTTGGCTACGGTACTGCGCAGACGTGAGCAGGAAAAACGACAGGAAGGAGGAGAAACAAGGTGGAAGGAAGTGAGGGAAACCGGAGTTTGGGCTCAATTTGGACTGAGATGAAAATCTTGAATTGATTGATTGATGTTGATTTGTTGATTTTGCCTTCGTTATTGTCGGCCGGAGTGACGGCAACCGTCCAAATTTATTCACTTATTTTTTATTTTCCTCATATATTCACTCATTTATTCATATGCTTATGCTTATTATCATCTTATCATCCATTTATGCTTTTCTCATTTATATGCAATGTACTCCTTTGATTTCTAATCGATGGGACTTTGCGTGCATAGAAACGATGATGTTTTTGATCGTGGTGGCTGATTAGAGTCCTTACAGTTCTCGACGAGGCTTCTCCATATAAAAAGGGCATCGACGGGAGGGAGAAGAGTCATTCGCGTAGCTGCCCTTTCGCGTTTCTTGCTCGCGTAGCAAAGGAGTTTTTCAGCTTTAATTCATTTATTTCATGCTTAATTCATTTATTGGTAGTCTCTGTAATCCCCGTAGGTCACGATGCATTATTCACTCATATCTCAGCTAAAAATGATCGAATTTGGGAGATTTTTGAATTTTTTGATTTCTCAAATAATCGTGCATTTATTTTTATTATTTTATTTAGAATAAAGGTTTAATTACCCAAGTTTGAGGGCCTTCTCGAGCAACACAAAATACCCGCGTGGCAAAATTTGGTTTGGCGAGCTTTGGTTGAAAAGTTGAGAAGGTCTTCATGCCGCCCCCCGTAGAGAACTGCGCAACGCCCACTTGAACCCTGCTTCCAAACTGTTTTATTATTCATATAACCCCATACCAGGAAAGAGAAGGAAGCTCTTCTAAAAACATCGCTCTATACAACAAAATTTTGCATAGCATCAAAACCCATTCCAACACTTCGAACATCTCAAGAGGGAACCGAGTATGTGGCTCACTCAAAAATGCTCAAATCAACGTGGAAGCTCCTTGAGATCCCTGTCCAAATCACTGACCTCGACTGTTGACCGCTCGTTTGCACTGAGAGAGCTGAGCACGAAGACAGCGGATCTCAGCTGACCAGTTCAGGACCAAAATTCGAACAAGACGATCTCCTCCTTGCCGACACGGCCTCTGACCAACAGAATCACGTGAAGAAACCACAGAATTTGTTGCATATTTCTCTGAAAAAGGTAATTTGAGTAAAGAAGAATTTCGAATGGCTCTGCAAAAGCTCAAGAAGGAATCTTCTGCAAGCAATTATAAAAAGAATAGCATTGGGCAGGATCGAACTTTGAAAAGTATCACCCATCAGCAAGCCTTTTTCACACTACACCATCCACATCTCTTCGGCATTTTTATCCCTTCTCCGCCCCCGAAGCTTTGCATTTTCAAGATTTCTCATAGTTTGCTTGAAACACAAAATACATTAAATAGGCCTTATTCCGGGCCTAGCTGGGCAACTCATGAGAGAGAAGAAATCGCTAGATTTGACACCGAATGCGCAAACGAATCAAACATTCAGCGCTTGATGGTACTGCCGCCTCTGGAAGCTGAACAAAAATGGGCTTCCTTCAAGTAATTGTTGTTACGTATTCGGACGCTATAGACAAGATATGGGGCACCCTTTAAATGTAGACGTGTGAAGTGGCACCATTCCGGAAAATGAAAATTGCTCACGTAACCCGGCGGCACCCAAAGTTTAGTCCCGAAATCAACGAAAAGCGATGTTTCACGCAATTCTGAATGCATTGCCACCAAATTTCCCGTCGTATGTTGCGATAGCGCCCATATTTGGGCATCTTTCAAGACGAGCTAAAGCCGAGACGGGAGGCAAAGACGTACTTTACCCCGGGGAAAAGGAAATTTTCAGGAAATATAGAAGCATCCCTCCTCGTAGGACGGGTTAATCTAGGTGAATTGAGGTATACTGCCGAGTATGATGGAGGCAGAACTTGTTGAATCGTTGAAACTCTGAATAGATACCCGTCCGAGGAAGTGGGAGGGGCGGGTGGGTTGCCTGACAGATTTTCTCAACACGATGCTCGCCCTGACTGAGGAAATGCTTAGCAATTTAATCGGATTACATATCTTCTGAAGGGGTATTGAGCTGATAAGCCATGATAAAAGCAACTGATATGTGAGAGATACGCGAGAGTTCACGAAGCAGCTTCACAGGACACCCGACAATGAAAGCGCCAACAATCCGTCTTCATTTGCCGCTTGTTCTTTACATCGCACCTCTGCCGCTGCTCACGATGATAATTTACTATGATAAATGATATCATTCATCACTCAGCAAGTGGGTTAAACCTACAGTAGCCCATGGGTGGATAATATCCTCACTCTCCTTGATTAATGAAGTTAAAACGATCCTAACGGTGGAAGGCTTCTTGTTTAGAAGTCACCTTCCACACACATATAACGCCTTGAAACCTCGTAGACCAAAGGTAAGAATTCCGTCAGGATTCCTGCCAAATTGTCTATGGAATACTCAGAAAACTCGAAAAAAAAACCTGAAAACCCAAAAAGTTCCACCCCCCTCTTCCTCCCTCAGCGGCCACCCTTAGATGTTTGGGACCTCAACCGAGCCTAGCAGCAGCACACAGCAGCGGAATCGGTGTGGTTCTGGGCAAGCAGCATTGTCGCTTAGGTATGGAACTCCTTGAGTTTTCAAAGCGCCCCGGGAATCAAATCTCGGTACGTGCACCATTCGGGCCTACCAGCTTCCATCAACTTGTGATATCAGCCCAGTCCGAGAGGGTAAAAACAGTGATTTGTGCACCTGCAACCTTCGCAAATCCAAATGGATCAAATCGCGTCCAAAATGGCACTATGATTTTGAACAGAAGTACACTGCGACGGATATCGTTCCACCTACAAATTTCCCAAAAACTTGAATCTGGGGATGTTTTTGAAAAAGGCTCTACAGACAAATTGTGACACATATAAACGCGAATCTGAATATTAACACGGAAATCCAGTTGAGAAAGCAACAAT